GACTTTACGTTACTTCCCTATCTTTGTTTGAATATATTTGTATGTATTTAATTAATGCTGCTGAAGAAGGCCGAAAGGCCAAAGGCTACGGAAAATTCAAAATAGCGTTTTTATTTCATGATATAGTAATATTAATAGATTTGAAACTTATTTCAAATGAAATATAGGTTCAAAGGGCGGTTACTGTTGTCAAAATAAAGTTAATTAGAGTGGCCTACCCTGATAACATTGCAAATGGCGAAAGGGTTCAAAAGGGAGGTTATTGAGCTCAAAAACTAAATGGTTATAATGGCCTCCCTTGAAAACATTGCAAATGGCGTGAAAGTTCAAAGGGATGTTAATGTTTCTCTCAAAATAGTGTCGGTTAGAGTGACCTCCCCTGATAACATTGCAAATGGGGTAAAGGTTCAAACGGTAGGTTACTGTCGCGCTCAAAATCAAGTTGTTAAGAATGACCTCCCATGAAAATATTCCAAATTGTGAAGGGGTTAAAAGGGAGGTTACTGTTGTTCTCAAAATCGAGTCGGTTAGTGATAACATTGCAAATGGGTTAAAGGTTCATTGGGAGATTACTGTTGCGCTCAAAATAGAATTGGTTAGAGTGACCCCCTAATAGCATTGCTGCAAATGGCGTGAGGGTTCAGAAGGGAGGTTACTGTTGCTCTCAAAATCGAGTCGGTTAGTGATAACATTGCAAAGGGGTTAAGGGTTCAATGGGAGGTTACTGTTGCGCTAAAAATAGAATTGGTTAGAGTGACCCTCTGATAACATTGCAAATGGCACGAGGGTTCAAAAGGGAGGTTACTGTTGCTCTCTAAATAGTAAGTAAGAGTGACCTCACCTGAAAACATTGCAAATGGGGTGAAGGTTCAAATGGAGGTTACTGTTGGGCTAAAAAGAGAGTCAGTTAGAGTGATCTCCTTTGATAACATGACCAATGGTCTGAGGGTTCAAAAGGAAGGTTACTGTTGCGCTCAAATTCGAGTTTGTTAGAGTGATATCCCCTGATATCTTTGCAAATGGAGTAAGATTTTAAAAGGGAGGTTACTATTGCGCTCAAAATCGAGTCGGTTAAAGTAAATTCGGAACTGCCTCGGCTATTATCTATAATAACCTCGGAAACAAGACGGATTGAAAGTAGTTCTACCACGTGGTTTCAAATGTATTTTTTTTTTTTTTTTTTTTTTGGAACCACGTTTAAGGCCCTTTTATTTACTTTTCCTTTTTACATAATACATTCATTTTACATTTTTCAATTAATTATTTCTTAACATACGTTACAAACTAATATATATGTTGTTGTAGACATTTTAAAATAATTTCAAAGAGCTTAAAGGTTTCAAATGTAAACAGAAACAGAGATAATGTAAAACGAACATTTATATTTGACATCTAATGTCTGTCTCGGTACTCTTATGCTTGAAAATATGTCTGACAACAATTTGTTATTTAAATATGCCCACTGATGTTCAATTTTAAACAAATCCAACTTCATGTCAACAACTCACAGCATTAAATTACAATTTGTTTACATGTTTAGTTTTTCAGCGTAGATTAGACCGAAATACCGCATCCGTTCTGTGAATTCATACTATTGTGTACGAGGTCCTTAGGCTGACGGAAAGGGCCGAGTAGTTGCGATTGGGTTAACGTGGCCTTGCTGATAATATTGCAAATGGCATTAGGGTTCAAAGGGGAGGTTACTAATGATCTTAAAATATAGTCGGTAAGACTGACCTCCCCTGATAACATTGCCAAATGTACTATTGCGTTAAAAATCGAGTTGGTTAGAGTGACCTCCTCACTTAACATTGGAAATGGCCTAAGGCCAAAAAGGACTTTGCATGTTAGGAAGTTTTAAAAACTATTAGAGAAATAAAATTCTTATTGAACTTGTATATAAACATAATCAGAAGGTACAAAGTTCAAATTAGGTTTTTATTTTAAATTAAGTCCTTTAATTGAAGCTCCTCTTAATTAAGATTCTCAACCCCTAATGTTTTATTTCTCCTTATTAGGATTTTAAAACTTTAATTAAGAATTAAGTAAAAATGTCTATGTATAATAGTTGTAACTGGTAGTATCAATTGTAAACTCTCCTATTTAGGAGAATCAAAGTTCAAATAAGGTTTTTTAGACCTATTAATTAAAAGTAAAAAAGTCCTTATTTGACTTTTGATACTCCTAATTATTAAGCATAAGTAACGAAGTCGTTATTGAACTTTTAACACTCTTTATTACGATATCTACAGTTTTTTAAGAACATAAAAATGTTGCATAAGACTGTTCGATGCCAAAACACCTTTGAAGACAATGTCATTATATTAGAACGTTTCGACCATGCGACCACATACATGCATCGAGGACATATTTTGGGGAAAGTGACCGTGCGACCACATACACGTATCATATGATTCCACTAGGGACAAAGAGTTGTCCGCCCTTTTATTAAAGGGCAGCCCTAAAAAATATGTCATTGCCATATCGGCTAATTTTCACAGATATGTCTTGAATTGGTTTATATACAACAATATTAACGCAAACCAAGCGTGTTATCAGTTAACGTCTTTTGAAGTCCGCTATGAAATTTTAAAAGGACCATACATAACTTATTAAAAATTTTTTACTTGAAAGTTTATTCTACTTTTCATTCTATTTATATAAGAGAATTATTTCAATTTTGCAAAACATGAACGTTTCAAAAAACGTTTTATATACATTAAATATTAGATATATGTTTCACACTCTGTTTTCAACTTTTAACCTAGGGGCATTTTTGCAAAAGTACTGTCCCAGGACGAAAACTTGAGCCTTCCATTTATTTGCATAAAGAAAAATGCGAAAGATAGGTGAGGCAGACTGAAGCCTAATAAATAATACACAAAGTAAAACGTCATATTTAGTGGGGCGGGAAATAAGGTCTCTGCTGTCAAAATAGTGCAAATTGTGATACAAGCATGAAACTTTCAGGAAATCATCTTTAGACCATGTAGATTTCAAAAGTGAAGTGGGCCCAAAAATATCTCTGCTCATTCAAGATGGCCGCCATTTTCAAGATGGCCGCCATATAAATTTGATGTACATAATAGATCCTTCATTCCAATTTTCTGTACAGACCTGAAACTTACACTAAAGCATGCATTTAGTTTCCCCTTTTCAAAAATTTAAATATTTAAGCAATTTCTCTTGCATATTTCTTCAGAATCCAAGATGGCGTCCAATATGGCTGCCAATTTTAATGACAACTTATATATCTCTTTTGTAGTATAATTTTTTGCACACGGTATGCGTATTTCCATATAAAATTGTGAAATATATTAGAAAAAAATCAAATTTTAAGTTAACCACATTGTAAGTCATGTTTTTAGTTTTTTGTACAAAAAAATCTTTAAAAAAAAATCAAAGAAAAAGTGCCATTTTTTTTCATTTTTCTCTAACATGGTTTTCTAGGTCTATGTACAAAATTCCAAAAGTTACATAGTTTCTTAAAGTGTATTTGATATTCAATCAACACTATGTTTTATTGTATAATTGTAACAAAAACAAACAAATATGTAAAGGTTTTATACTTATTAAAAGTGGGTGGGGTAAATTTACCACACAATTGTAGTACAAAATAACGTTTTTTAAGAATTCTTATGCAAATATTCACTGTAAAAGTATTTTATTGTATTAAGGTATTTTTGTTTTCCTTTAGGTCTAGAGGGTGTACTAAAATATCAATAAATGCAGATACAATCATATCTATACATTCAATTATTAAATGTGTTTGCATAATATATGTTGTTTCAATAGTCATAATATAACTTGATAATTGTACAGAAAGAAGACTGAATATTCATCAACGAACCATATGTTAAATAAAATCATGCCTGGACCTTAGTGAAATGTTGTCTATTATGAATACAATTATTTCCTGCACAATTTAGTCTTGCCAAAAGATTGTAACAGAATGATTCAAAGTTATATTTACTTGCACATCATTGTAACCAAGTATAATTGAATAAGTACCGTCCATTTCTTATAACTTATGTAGACATGATATTTTCAAAAGAATCAAAAATTTAGGCGACTGATACATCATATTATCTAATGACTAGGTGTGCTAAAATAGGTATCAATAAAACCGCTTGACCCACATAACAAACATAGCTTATACTTTGGAATATAAACTAAATGTGTTCCTACTTTTCCCATAAAAAGAGAGCATTGTTGACCCTAGATCACGCACCTTAGACCCACTGCTGGAAAAGGTCTATAATTCTTTTATACTGAAGAATGCTAAAATCATATAAGGAGTATCTTTTTTTCACCAGTCATGATTTAAAGAATAATGTCCAATAACTAGGCTCTCAGAACTACAAGAAGACTCATATAACTATATTCCAATAAGAGTCCATGTAAACTAAGTGATTTTGACCCTATGCCAATAGTTTATAATCTTTATATAGCATCACAATGTTATGATATACGATATTTTCTCTTCTCTGTGCACATAGTTTCGGAGAAAAATTTTAATATATAAGGCAATGTAAACTCAGTGACAGGGAAAGCCATTTTGGACTGCAGGAACATGATTTAAAGGCCCTCACTAGGAACACAGTCTTTAAAGACTTGTTTAGGGAATCGTATTGAAGTTGTTGATGTTATTAAAAAAAATCAACAAACAAACAAACTGTAATGCCTAGAGCCTAGATAGTCAAAATATAACCTTGCCAAGTAAAGAAGACCTCTTTCAAAGTTACATAAAACACTTTTGTATCATTAAGTATACATGCAATAAAAAAATCGTCTCAAAAATCAAAATGCATAGAGCACTGGTACTAAGCTGGCATGTAGCACCACCTTGGGTCTTTATTAACACATTTAATGAATCATGCTCATAGAGCCACCTGGGTTCACAGACTTGTATAGGAAAACACATTAAAAACATCTAGTGTTAAACTTCATTGACTTGAAATAAGATATTTGGGATGTAGACTGATATAACATGCATAAATTTGTATGATCCCAGCAAACACCTGACGTTGTTTCAACGTTGGATCTAAGTTGGATTTATGTCACGACGTCAAAATCCTAAATACAACGTTGAAACAACGTTGTATTTGCGACGTCGTATCAACGTGTTGGAATTACGTCGATACGACGTCGGATTTCAGTGTCATCCAACATAGTAGTCTTGATTGTGTTACTTCCCTTTGTTCTGATTTATAAACCCGATAGGTGGCTCTAATTTCAGGTCAATATAATCATTCGAATTTTGTTACTCATTTTTTTTTTCACATCCATTGTATTTTTTTTTTTAAAAATTGTTGTTATACTAGACCATAAAAAGGAACAATGTTAGTATTTCAATTAAATAAATTGAAAAAAAATAATGGAAACTTGATGAATTTCAAAACGAGGCTACAACAACAATTTGTTTTCAAATTCAAACAAAGACAAAGGAAGGACATTATGCACATCATAGAAGACAACTCGCATAGTGAAAAGTAAGTGATATTTTTGAAGGTAGATTAGTATTAAACTTACTGCATGCATAGTATAATAACTGAAAAATTATTAGTTACATTTGGAATATAATTATATCTTTATGATATTCAATTATCTCAGTTCTAAACCAGTTCATTAATGTAGTCTGATTCGCCCTCATTTAACTCGTACTTTGGGATTCAATTGATATATAAATTGTATGAAATTCTGTCAAACTTTTTGTTTTATTTGTGTTGCCATTTTAAGCCAAGATCCATACATGACCTTAATCTCTCTAATTCGATTTATCAGATTAGTAGACTAGATAACAATAAGTATTTCACCACAACGTATTTGTTAACAAAGGAACACCTGTCAATATTTGAGATTTAATCTATTGTTATTCAAATAGATCTACATGTAAAAGGTCAAAGTAGGGATCTATCAATACATAAGTATACTGTCAAAGTAAATTTATAACTTTGTGTCAATAATCATTGGGTTTTGTTTTCTTTATAGACTGACACCTTATTTTTGTGTGATGACAATTAGCTGATAAGATTGTATACATGAAAAGCAGTCGACAGGAAACACCATTTGGACATAAAAGAATGATAAGTGCATCAAATTAAGGTAATATATGGATTTTGATTTTGTTATTTACTGTAATTTCTGTTTTGTCATAATTAACTGTTAATCAAAAGTAAAATAATTACGTGAAATGTCTTATGATTGAATTTACACCTTTACATGTTACTGTTTTGCAAATTACATATATTTGAAGGTACAGTTTTTGAGTGTTCTACATCATCAATCGACATCTGATTGTAATTTATGATATGCTAGGGTAATCTATTGGTAATAATATTTCTATTTAATATAATTTAATTGACCATTTTGGTTGTTATGTACACCTATTTATTTATTTATTTATTTCTGTTTTGCAGTTTCAAGGGAAAAAAAAGCTGAACCTCAAAACAAGTTTGACACAGTGTCTTCGTAGATGAAAATAATCAGGATCCAGTGGTGGACGTTTAGTATACCAGAATTATTCACATGGAGGAGTATATCTCCAAATTTAATACTTTTTAGTTAGTTTTGAAAGAATAAAGATTAAAAATTACTTACTTTCTTTAAATGTGAATATTTATTTATTGTTTTGTGTGTTACACTTAATTTTGACAGAAAGGAATATTTTCCCTCACTTATCCGATTTGTTACCGATGAAATCAACTGCAAAAGAAAGCTTTATTTTCCATGATTTCCATTTTCTATGAGTTATTGAAAAGAAAACCTTTTTAAGCATGTTGTAAACGTGAATACTTTAATTGACATATATTGTAACAGTTAATATATACTGTAGACCTTTAAATGAAAATGATTTGTTGTTTGTTATTATTTTGGATTACAAAATGTGTATTATTGTATTGACTGACAGAGGTCTGATAAATGTTGAACTTCAATTTTGAAAAGACATGTAGCTCTTATTTTTTATTTTAATAGTTTATATACAATTTATAAATTTCAAACTTTATTTTATTATCACTATAAATGATTAAAAGTGAGTCATTTTTGTGATGTTATACAAATTTGTTGAAAATGTATATTTACTGTATATTAAGTTTTGCATGAATAGATAAATCAGAAACTGTGTTATACATTTTGTTTAATTGTTTTTATGATCACTTTCTCAAAATAATAAAATCACTTTTCGAGTATAGAAAGTTTTGTATTTTCTCTTTATTTGGGAATTATTTCATGAAAATGGGTCAGATTTATGTTGGGAATTGGTTGGAATTACGTTGGAAACTAGTTGGTATTACGTAAGTATATAACTGGTTGGAATCATGTTGGAAACTGGTTGGATTCACGTTGGGAATAGGTTGGAAAGTAGTTGTATGTACGTTGAATAGAGGTTGGATTTATGTCATCTTATGACGTTGGATTGACGTCAGACTCTGACGTCTAAAAAACTTTCATATACAACTAAATTCCAACGTCTATCCAACGTCGGACTCTAACGTCTGAGCAACGTTGAAACAACGTCATGTGTTTGCTGGGATGCTACTGCAGTCTAAAATGGTTTTGCAATGGTATCACTTAATTTACAAACTACTGTAATAAATCTGTTTTCTCTTAACCTACACTATCCGACGCATGTACATTAATCATGTATCATCATAATTATGTTATAATAATGATATATCATGGACAACATGGTCCAAATTTACCAAACACAAAAGGTCACAAAGTTTATATGGACTCGTAAATAGATATGGTTATTAAATTTTTTTTTGATTTTTTACCTTTTTTCCAACAATGATCTTAGGTGAGTGATCCAGAGTCATCATTACCCTCTTATTGAAAGAAAAAAAAAGATATGATTACTTTAGGAAATACTAGACTAAGTATACTTAGTTTGTATCTTAATTGTTCAAAAAGTTGCATGAAGGCCAGGCCATATCATTGATATATATGTTTCACATCACATACATTTTGTTGGCTTTTAAGCCATGTTTATATTATAAATATAAAATTGTGGAGAGTCAAAAATATGCGTTTAGAGACTACCTTTATACCTTACATTCAAGTACATGTTTGCTATTTTAAGCATGTTTAGTTGATTTATTGTCTTCTTATATGTCTTTACGATTAACAATTAATATATGATATCAAATATATTGAAACAAGAATTATCATGCAACCAAATTTAATAACTGAATGTATACACATGTTTGTACGTGCATTTCTTGCTCATCCACCAAATGGCCCGAAGGAAGACAAAAATACTTTCATCCAATAAAAAGTACTTTTTAAGTTTGAACATTTGCATAAGAATTCATAGAAAAGTAAAATAGCAAAGAAATAGAATGAACTTAGCTATGTAGATTTTCTGTTGTTTTTTCTTTCACAATTATCATATAAAATTACCCCACCCACTTTCACAAAATATAAAACCTACAGATTTAATGCTTTTCTTACATTCTTTACAATAAACACATGATATTAATGGAATGTCAAATGCAGTTTAAGATATAAAATAACTTTTTTTAACTTTGTACATTACTTTAGAAAATCAAAGTTGAAAAATATGAAAAAAATGGAATTTTTTCTTGATCTTTTTTAAAGATATTTTTAGACAATTTTTTTAAATGTTTACTTTTATTGAGATTTACATATAATTTGATTATCTCTGATATGTTTAAACACTTTTTTATCATAATAAACATAATTTGTGCAACAAATCATACTATAAAAATGATATAACAGTTTTGCACAAAATCGACGGCCATATTGGACGCCATCTTGGTTTTGGAAGAAGTATGAAAGAGAAATTTTGTGAGATTTAAATTTTTGAAAAGGAGAAATTATATGCATGCTTTTGGTGTGAGTTAAAGGTCTGTACAACAAAATGGGAATGAATGAGCTAGAATGTACTCAAATTTATATGGCGGCCATTTTGAAAATGGCGGCCATCTTGAATGAGCAGAGATATTTTTGGGCCCACTTCACTTTTGAAATCTACATGGTCTAAAGATGATTTCCTGAAAAGTTCATGCTTGTATCACAATTTGCACTATTTTCTCAATTTCCCGCCCCACTAATTTTCCTGTGCCTTGATAGCACAGTAGGCCAATGCTGTTGCATGCTTTAAGATGCTCGTGACATGGTTAGGTACCATTACATTTGTGTGTTTTATGTGTCTTTTTCTTATTTGACCAGTTTTGTTTCAAATAGTTGCAAATGCATGAGAAAGAATTATTTTGTGCACGGGTTGATATGCAATTGTGTTAAGTTTAGGGGTTTCCCAAACATTTTTTCAAACATCATGAAAAAGCAAATATCAGAAATGTAAATAAAAAAAACAATGAAATGAAGTGAGTTATATATTGATCCATATATTCATTTTTTGATATTTTGTAATCGTAGTGGGTTTAAAATAGTTTGATTGTTAAAATGTTATTTTTTTATTTTTTTTACAAAAAATCACTTGACATGTACATGTAGTTGGTTAAATTTCATTATAAAAGAGCAACAAAAATGAAATTAAAAAAAAAATAAATAGGAAATAGAAATTAAGGTAGTACACCCCTAATGGGCACTATAAGGAATTGTAAATTTGACAACATAGTATAGTTATATGCCTTAAATGTCACCTGTATGCAAAATTTAAACAAAATTTACCGTGTGGTTTATGAGTTATGGACATTTTTATGAACTAAAACTTTGCCACTAGAAGGGATTTTTTCAGAAATGAGGAAACTCTAAATAATCTATAATATCATCATTATGAAAAATGTTTTCCTTTTGCTCATTGTTAAGAAATAAACAATGACATATAGGTAACAAATTAAACAAGCAAAATGATTGTTTTTAAATGAAATGTTTTAAATATGTATACAAATGTAACCCTACCCCACCCACTTTTAACACTAATTTGACCATTTCCCTATGTAAAAAGCCTTATTTAAAATATCCCTAAAATTTTCCAAAATGAGGGGCTATTTTCAAAGTTTGCCTAAATTTTCTTTAATGTATTGTAAGGATCTGACATTCTAGCGTAATTCTGAAATGTACTTACAACAGAACTTATAATGAAATCCAAGTGACATTGTGAAATCCTATAGCTTCATAATTTGTTGACTTCTACAATAACAAGATTCACTTACCTTATTGATCTGAAGGAACACTGTATTAACACTTATTGACTTTGCAATTTAAGCTGATAGAAATGTTAAACTTACCTTTTATGTATAGCAGAAAACTGATTTTCTCTTTACATTTTTGTGTAGCAGACGTCGAATGACAGACATGTTTGAAATCTGTCAGTTCATATTTTGTATTGAAGATTTCTTATTGTTAATGTCAATTTCAGTCAAATTCAAATCAAGAACGTAATTTATGTAAAGTTTATGATTGATTAAGGTCAGAAATCCTTAAGTATTCACTACATGTTTCTGTATATTAATGATTTTCGTATGTAGATTTTATATGAGATTTCAATATGGCCGCCATTGAAATCCAAGATTTCAGATTCAGAAATCCGGCCGTCTGTCCATTGGAGGATTTCCGGATTTCTGTTGTTTCATTGGTGGATTTCAAACATCGAACCTTATAAAAGTCGGAATCCAACCAATGTTGTCACTTCGGTCTTGACCTCCAAGTAATGTAAATAAAGTTGTAAAACCGCCAAAGTTCAAATTCAGTAAACATCTTACAAACGACATTGTTATCCAAACTTGTAAGTTTGTATGTATTTAAATCCAATATTAGTAACTCACTAGACACTGTTGTTGCCGAAATACTTGTTATAAACTTAGAAAACTGTATAAGAATTGTATTTATTTTCCCCATCCTGACATACGTTTACAGTATATTGGTTGGTCTTGCAAAATATAAAATACTTTTACCGTTTAGTTTTTATTTTATTAAACTTTGAAAATATCTGGTATCATATTTGCTATCAAATTTGGCATTATTTAGTAAATAAATACCTACAATAATTATATAATTAAAATCAAACACTTTTTTCTTCCATAGGGGGTCTGAGAGATTAATAAAAAATGTTAAAAAGAAAAAAAAATGAAAGAAAAAAAATTGCCCCTTCTGGGGTTTGAACCCACGCCCCCTCAGTTTCAATACACTTTACAGTGATTTTAACCTATTTGAATACTCTTCAAAGTGGAGACAGTGCATTAGGGTTGTACTACCTTAAGAAGAACAAAATATATTCAAATAATCATACAAAAGACACACAAAGTAAAAATACTTTACTCCTAAAGATATATAGTCTACCGTATTTGAGTTTGAATGTCTTACACGTTTGAGTTGAACGGTTTTCTGAGTTATTCATATTTGCTGATGAGTAAATGTCGATGTTATCAATAAATAGAGGTGGACGGTTGATGACGTTACTCTAATTTTGAAGACAGTCAAGCTTAAATACCCTTTTACATACGTATCATATAATGTGATAACCAACTTATAGATATATTTCTACTTTGGTTCATTCATTGATAAATTGGTGTCATATATATTGTAAAATGAATTAATATATTGATAATTCGGTTTCATTATCATATATCTGGTTCCATATATGGCTACGTTGAATAACTGAAATCATATGTTGAGAAAATCAACTTATTATAATTATTGCTACTTCGGTTTCACACATTGACGGTATGGTTTCATATTTTCAATTTCAAACAACATTTTCACTTTTGTAATTTTGGGCTTTCTTTAGGGATTCTTATTTTCTCTATTTCCATAAACCCTTCCTTGATCGCCGTCTCTGCCTACTTTGTAGTGCCTCATCATCAGTCGGGACATCGGCTGTTTATTCGTGCCGACTGTCTATATAGATTTTAACCACTTTAATTACATGTATACTCAACATCACTAAATCCGCGTCATCACTTAATAATTATTACGTGTACGGTTATTAATGACATATTTCCATAATGACCGGTGTTAAAACTGATCAAAATTGACATATTTTATTTATACACCTAAACAACAAAGTTTTTGTGCAAAATATTTTCAATCTCTAGATTTTTACGTAAAACAGAACAACATTTTACTAATTTCAGCAAAAAGCAATAATAGCTAGTCCATTAAATTTGTGAGTAGGCCTATGTCTGAAACAATCATCATTTTCTAAATGTTCTTGTTTGTTGAAAAAATAAATTTTGAGTTACAATGTAAAGATACTTACTTTAAATATTTAAATTTATGCAAAATTAAATGCAGAAATTTTAACTGAAACATGAAAAAACTGAATTAAAACACCATTACCGCAATTTTAATTTCAAAAATGCCGACATTTGGTCTTCGTCTGGCTCATTAAATAAACTGATTTTGACTAAATATATTGTTGTTTCTTTGTGTCATACAGCAGAAAATACCTATATGTTACAGCTTATGGCATTTTTTGTACCATAAGTTTTATGTGTTGTATTCTTTCTTGCTTTAAATCATTATTAAAGTACCGTTAACTAAGATGGAGTACAGTAAGTACTTATAGTATGTTAATGGGCCAACGTTCCTACTATATATGTTTTGATTGTATTGTTTTTTTAAGCCCATTATGCCCCGATTATCCTTTTGTTTTATTTCTTAAAAGCTGTTTAATTTAAATGTCCTATTATATAGTTTACAAAATGTTACTCATTATTGGCCAATATTATACCTTCTGACTTTGAATGGTTCGGGGGCTCCAAGTCAAAATACTACTTAGTTTACATTTTGCTACTTTTATGACAAACGATTTCACATTAACAAAATAGATTTCTATTATAATAAAAGACAATCACAGATAATCTGTTTGTGTTCTTAAATAAGGTACGTTCATGTATACCTATCTATTAAAAGTACTATCACCACATAATGTAACCAGTTAGTTTAGGCCCGTGATGCATATGGTCAAGGGAGCCAATCAGTAGGGCTTTTCATTATGTTCTTGAAAACGTATATTTTAGCCATTATTGTACAGTACCACTTTTTTAAATTTCTGCACTTTAAACTATGACACAATTTCTAGACCTGTGTCTAACCATAAAATGGAATTGGGTTAAATATAGTTCCAAATTATTTTTATGCTTTATTTTATACTCACCGATAATATCTACCTGAATAAGTTTAAATTATACAGCATTTTACTAAAAATAAACTCGTGTGACTTCTAAAGGTACAATCTATTAAAATCATGTTTGTTTACATTTTGAACGTGCATGTATTAAAAAGTAGTACGGATATATCGGGCACAATTGACGTCATTTGGCGCTGAAAACCAATGAAATTCTTTTGTTAAACCGTAGGCGGTGTAGGAATATAGAAATTTGCACAGTGGTTCGGTTTATGATAAAGCTATGACGCTGATGGTTGTCGATTGACGTGGCGACTACGTATCTGCAAATTTATCCTTCTAATTGGTGGCAAGGTTGGTGACGAAATCTGCGTAATTGGTAGGTACCCTGTAGAAAAAGATGCACAAAAGCTGTTATCACAACATTTTATGCCAAAGATAAAGGCTTTCTAGGTTAAATTTATCGATATATCGCAGAGAAACTAGCGGTGAAAAATTCATAAGCCATTTTGTAAATTAATTCAGTTTACTATTCAAGGGCTTTCCCAGACAGCAACATGGATTTATTTCGGGATTCCCTCTCAAATTATGGTATGAAAAGTTTGTTTACTTTTTTAAAGTCTTTCTTTAAACGTTGTGTATGGTTGTAATTCTAAGTTTTGATATGAGGGAATATGCAGATTCGAAAAGTGGGTCATTCTGTTTAATAGTGTTATGTTACATCGATGGCTGAATGAACAGATGAAAGTGTTGATCTACATTTCTCTTGTAAGACTTAACATGTACTCTATCAAAGGGAAACCTTGACTGTGCTTGCTTCTTGATTATCTCCAGTAACAGTAAATGGAAAAAATATATATCTGACCAATATTGTTTATAATTTGTCCATTAATGTTACATCAGTTGATCTAATGATATTTGAGCACTTTGTCTGAAGCAAAATCCATGTTTTGAAACCCTTATCTTAAAAGTAATCTGGGTGATATTTGTCATACAGAAACATAAGTGTCACAGGGAGTGAGGGACAGAAAAACGTGCAGTCTGACAGGGACCCTTGGAATACCGTTTCCCGGCTCTATTGACAAAGCTCACTTCGGCCGCTTACACATCTTCTACCCTAAAGAGTGAACAATTTCTGAACTGTGGCATTATACTCCCCCGCTTTATTTAAATTCATCCCCAAATTTCTCAGGGTTACACGACTATGCTCATCAGCTCTGACAGAGCTATTTGCAGTAATTGCCCCCCCCCACCCCCAAACCAGGACTGGAACCTGAGGCTAGTAACTAAGTGATTGCTTGCGGCATAGGTTCATTATTTCATACCCCATCAGGTGCATAAGTTTTATTTCCCTTGATCAAGAAATTTTACACATATTGCTCTCTAGAAACAGATTCAAAACTGTGTCAAATGCTTATAGCTGCCAGGGAGAATTAACTAAAATAATTTCTGTATAAACTTACAATTAAAAAAATCTTGTCTACATGTCATTGGTATTGAACTGTTTACTAATTAAGGGAGATTGTATGTAAGCGGCCAGGTAGCTTAGTTGGTATAAAAAAAACAGTAAAGTATTCAGAGGGTCCTGGTCAGAGAGCACATTTTTCTCACCTTGTGACATTATTTTCATAGGAGGACGGTGACTGCATTCATAGCTGAGAGTTAAATTCACAAAATTGCTCTATTACATGAGAAAATTGATGGTAAATTTCAATATAGAGGTATAGTTCATACTGCAGCTCAACTGCCTGAGCTGTCTGGCAACTAAATACACGCAATCTCCCCTAATAAGTGAACACAGAGTATCTGTTTGACCCTTGAAATGACTCTTTCAGTCTTTGACCCTTCAAATTTCCAAAAGATCTGATTTGACCCTCAGAATTTTAACTGGAGGGTCAAATTTTATTTTTTAAATCATGGGGATTTGACCTTGTAGTCGGTAAATCTTAGTCAAAATTTTTAACTGCTAGGTAACTTTCAATACTATTTAATGTAGAATCCCAGGACTCTCTTACTTACCCTTGGTACATGTAATAATGGATGAGTTACTTCCTTTTATAAAATAAAAAAAAGTTAGGTGCTTTTGACTGAAAACTTATAGTCAATATCTTTTATACAGAGATGTAAGCTTAAAATATGGTGCCTTTACCATGTGATCTGGGTGGGGCAAAAAATCCATTCTGGTTGAGTACATATACATAGAATGTTTAAGGGAAAAAAATAAGTATTTTTTAAGGAAAGTAAAACAATATTGACTTTGAACAATGTACTATTCATTTCACATGCAGTCACTGTCTTTGTGAAAAAATGATTTTTTTCCCAAGATAACTTTCTTTTTCTGGGTTTCTCACTAGAATGAGTTTCTCCACTTTATCCTATAAAAATAATGATACATTTAGAAAAGATATGATACCTGTAAGACTGTACATTGCATGAGCCATGTTTAATATATTTTGTAAGTCTTCATTCGAAACTTATTCAAACTTTACTGGTACAATACTGATGCATTTCCTCTCACTTTTAAGGTGGTCAGCAAAAATGTCTGACGGTGTGACTTCCGATATTGACGTGAATCAAGGATTATCGGTCGTACAAGTGTCACTAGCAAGTCCAACATTGCAAGTTCAGTCGGTGATACAACAGAATCAGCAAATTTTACAGTCAACAAGCCAAAACTCTGTTATACAGACTGCCGGTTCCAACGTGCCAACTATACAAGTTGTGAGAGTATGTATAGTTTTCCACAATAAAAACATGTAACATTATTATCTGTTCTTCATTACCTTTACTTAAGTCATGCCAATTTGTACATGTCTGTATAGCCATTAGCAGGCTTTATTTTTACTCCAGTGCATATTTTTGATACTGACACCCCTTAAAATGTAAATGGACAGTCTCAATTTCAAAGCTGGACAATTCCATTAAATGAATAAAGTGAGCAGAGTAGGTGATTTGTAAATAATTATGTGGTAAATTAGTTACACAGTTTCTTTGTATATTTCCTTAAACTTTTATCATTACATTTTAAGTTACTGTAACAGCAATTAACTTCAGAATACATAATACAGTATTACTGCTTCGGATTGCACATGAAAAGTGTTGTATAAGAACAAATCAGTTCTGAAAATTATGATAATATATAATTATGTATTTGTGTTAATTACAGGTAGCACAAGTAGACGAAGAACAGTTATCAGACGATTCGGAGGGCAGAAAACGAAGAGAAATTCTTACAAGAAGACCGTCATATAGGTATTGACATAGTATTAAGTAATATCTTGAACATAAACAGGACATAGCTGAAATGCCATAAAATAATATTCTAGGCTCTGTTTTGTTGAAACTGAGGTGTTCTTAGGAATAGCCTGTAAACTCAAAGGCTACTGAAAGCAACTGAATCTATCCATGCATCCATGGCAGGCAAAGGTCAGCCAACACATCAATTGTTTTGACTTGTTTTGGCTCTATTTTTGCTTTACTGATATTTAATTTCAATTAACAAGCATGCTCCTCTTAAAAGTTTACACCTTTGTGTGTCGGCAGGTGCAGTCCAAAAAGCCCCAGGTAACCCCAAGAATTATAATATGTACACACAATTGATGTATCAGAAAGTCTCTTCAAGAGGAGATCATTTACTGTTGATGGGAGACACTACTAAAAATTGACCAGAAATAGCATGGAAATCGAAACTGGTCATATTTCCATACTCAGAAATGTCATTATAAGTTTTATTCAAGAAAGACCCTATAACTTAGTATAAGATTAGAATGTAAGTTGATGATATGGATTATTATTAACTTCTTATTTGTTCCTTTGCAGAAAAATTTTAAACGATTTGTCATCTCCTGTATCAGTTGCCAAGATTGAGGAGGAATCAAACAGCAGTCAAAGCCAGGACGGCGACTCCCAGGACGGCACTGGTACAAGCCTGAGTGCTGCAGCTTTACAATACCAAAGTGCAACTGGTGATTATAGTAAGACTTTCTATGTGTGCTAATAATATGCTTGTTGACTGTTTGTAGTTCAACATTTCATAATAAGATCAGTGACTCTGTTAGACTGAAATTCATTGAAAATGTTATCAGTTTTATATATATCTACAGCTGCTATGGGCTATAGGAAACAAAATATTTGTTTGTCAAAATTTAATTCACATGTGCCAGAGTAAATAAATCGGCTTTTATTTGGGGGGGGGGGGGTGGAAGGTAAAAAATATGACTGAATCCTTGTATCCTGTTCAAATTACTTGAGAGAGGCAACTGAGGTCTTCCTCAGCCACAAAACTGCTGATGATGGCCACAAATGGCCTCGATGGTGGCAAAAAAATGAATTAAAGATCTTTCTCTAGTATAGATCTATCAAATGACTTATAGACGGAAAAATTCGAAGACAATTTTTTCATTAATCGTTGCATTTAATTTTTCAGTGATACCATCAGGAGCTATACAGATCAGCGTGAACGCAGACGGTACGCCAGTGGCTCAGGGATTACAAACCCTGACCATGACTAATGCTAGTCCTGCATCTAGTGCTGCTAGTACTGGAGGTGCAACTATTGTCCAATACGCACAAGGACCAGACGGTCAACAGTTTTACATACCAGGTTTGTTCATTGGTTGTTTAAATTTAAATTAAGCCAATAATTATAATACTCTCTTGACCTCTGGCTTGAATGTCAATTTATTTTGGTTAATTTAAATTCTGTTCCAGTTTCTATCACAAGATTGGAGTTTGAGCATATGAAAATTTAGACAAATGTGTTCAGAAAAGGTTGAAACATCTACTAAGTAAAAAAAATCTCATTCTATATGTTTAAAGTAATAATTGGCTATGTTGGCCTCTGATCCTGGTGATATATTATCTTTTATGAAATATCTAAATAAAAAATCTAAATAAAACTCAATTTTAAGGTTGAATGTCATAGATGAAAATCAATCAATGCACAAATGGCTTAGTAAAAGTAATATTACCTAAATTTTATTATAGATGCAAGGTTCTTTTAAATGCTCTAAGCCTTAGAAATGAATGATACTTTTGTTCTGTACTGTCCATAAGATGAGACCTATGTTTAAGTAATGGATTTATAGCATGTTAGATGTTTATCACAAAATGAAAGCAACATGGAATGTGAAGCAATTTGTTTCAAAGTAGCCCAACATAAAGAAGAATTTTGTCTTCCATACAAAATCACTATTACTATAAGAACAAAGCACAAAAGATGGTTCATCTAAAGCTATAGCCAATAAGTATCTTTTCAGAAACTATAACAGAACACCTAAAAATAAAAAACTTCTGAAAAATAAAATAATAGCATATTTTGGCTGAATCTGTTGATGGGGAGTGGTGGCCTAGTGGTTAAAGTGTCTGTTCATCAAACCAGGGATCATGGGTTTGAGTCCTTGAGTCTCAACCATGTTTCTTCATATGACACCATACTGGTTGACAGTGGTTGCTTTCAGGAAATGTGCTTAAAAGTGATTAATATAAGTTGCAAGAACTTTTTCCACAATCCAGCTAAAAGAAATATGTTTAAACTAAATTGATAAACTGTTGTGGAATTTTCAAAGTCCAATTTTATCACTTTATAGAAAATGATAATAAATTTCAGTTGGAAGTACGGGCACAATGCAAGCGTATCAGATAGCCACGCCAGGAACATTGCCACAAGGCGTCGTCATGGCAACAAATAGTACAGCAACTTTAAGTCGTGATGCGGCATCAGAAGAAGCATCTCGAAAACGAGAACTTCGACTTCTCAAAAACAGGTATTTTATTATTTAACAGAGTCGCTGTATCAGTCCTGGTCAGCAAGAGCTAGTTTCCATAGTGATAATTATCTCAGGTTCATCTAACAGTAATGAGTTTATTTTTTTGTTATTTGTTTTGCAGTATTTAGCTACTATTGTTTGACAGCTACACTGGATTGAGAAAATACCTTACTTTTAGATAGATTCTATCATATCTATTGTGAGACAATGTTATTGAAGATTGCATTCGTGAGTAATGCAATGATTTATCATTTAGTTTACAATTGAAAAGAAGTTGTCAGTGATTTGTTTAAAATGGAAGACAAGTAAAATAAATCTAGGAACACTGTGTTAGTTACGACTAAGGTTAGTTGCACATTGATAAAACAAACTGTGGAGAAAAAGTATAAAAAACTTTATAAATATAAGTATACTAGCAAAAAATTGATGTTAATTTCAACATTGTTGTTTTGTTTTTCTTTTCAGAGAGGCAGCGAAAGAGTGTCGTAGAAAGAAGAAAGACTATGTGAAATGTTTAGAAAATCGTGTGGCAGTATTAGAAAATCAAAACAAAACTCTGATTGAGGAATTAAAAGCATTGAAAGAATTATACTGTCAGACGGAAGTGTGATCTTCACTGTGATAGCACGTCTTTTAAACAAATAATAAGTACGTAACTAATGTGCTGAATGGGTAAAACTTTGTGCCTGCAAAGGAAAGTATATATACATTATCAGACTATTGAGTAAGTACTTGCATAGTAATAGCCTTGTGTTCAATACAGCTTCATAAACAAGTATGTGGGGACTTAAAGATGATGTATCTTATACCTTAACACATTCATGGACCAAGATAAATGCTTAATGTTTTAAAGTCAAAGATTTGTGGCTTTTTTATGTTAATGCTGACATTGACAGAAAATTATTTTTCTTGTGACGATGAAAATTCCATCTAAAAACATGGTGATAAAAAGGAGACGCGCAGTCGCAAAGAGGGAAGGATCGGTGACTTGGATACCAAACACTTTGTAGAAGCTAGAAAATTTTGAAGAGCTTTATTTAGAGTATCTATCTCTTTTATTGTATTAGTAAACATGAACTTAAAATGTAAAAAAAAATCAATTTGTTTTAAAATAAGAACATTTGAAACTTTCTTGAATCGCTCACAATTTTTTTTTTTTTTTCAAAATGATTTCCAGTTTATACAGGGTACCAAAATATTGAAAAGCTTATAAAGGAGTTAAGTGTGTATATAATAATTCATTTTTAAAGACATAATTCATATATTTGAAGGTTGGTTAGAGCAACAGACCCAGTTATATTGTTTATTAGGAAAGAATTGTTTTAATTTGGGGTGTTTGAATCGATGAATCCAAGTGAGTTGTAAATATTTGATGGTGCATACATGTACAAATACATGAAATTGTTTATTTTGTAAAGTACAGTATTTTAAGATTGTCCGATTTTGGTGTAAAATATTTGTCCAATATTTGTGGTATGTTGATAGCAGAATTGCAAAAAGCAATATAATGCTGGGAACTTTTCCAGAATATTTCAGTTACAGGGCTGGTGTAACTTTTAGGGTGAATCTCAAGAAAACTGATGTTAATTTAAAATGGCACAGTTAAATATTATATTGTAAACATGTTTATACATTGCTGGAGTTGTAATCTGATTGAATCATCACTTTATGTTCTATTTTTAGCACACTGTCAATTACAGGCCATTGAGTTTTCTACTATTTACATTTTCTCTTTTTTTTGAAACTGCAAGTGGAATTTTTCTATACTTACTCCTAAATTTGTGCAATGGATTTGCCCAGCTTTGATTTTGGAACAGTCCATTCTAGGATTTAGGGATGTCAATATCAAAATACAAAAATGGGGATGTTAACATTATAGAGACAAAGACTTCACACTTGTGAAGACTGGTCTGTCTTGGTACAGGTTGCATAGGTTAATTATTCAGCAGCATGCCACCAAATTTATGGTAATTTTAGTGAACATTTTTAAAATGTATTAAACTGTAAAATATTGTCAATAGAACAAAGAAAGAAATTTACACATTGCAAACAATACTTAAATTTCAATGACATTGAAAATGGCACAAAAAGCTGGTCATAATATTCAAAAATAGCCCTTACTACATTAATATCGCAGTAGAAATATGGTGATAAATACTGCAAAAACAGGCAATAATTGCAAAAATTAAATGTAAATTATTTCTTGAATTATGAATGTTTTTACTTTTCTTAAAATCTTAGTAGTTTTTCTCAAAATAGTTTTTCTCGAACGTTTTGGCTCATCTGGAGGCATTAAAGGGTTAAACAAGTTTTCCAATTTTTTTTAACATTTTCTTTTTATGCAGGAAATAGGGTAAACTTTTGTTACTCCCTTTTGTTTGTATGAACTGTTTTCCTGATTATAACAACAGTTTATACAATTTCTATGTATGTTTGGTTACAGCTAGCCAATTATTTTTCTCCACATTATCAAAGTGGAGCGATAAATCTTCATATTGTTTGTTAGTGGTTAAATAAATACAATTAATCCTTGCCAATGGACATAATAATTACTGTAATGTGCTACAAACTTGCAAGCTTACTAAGACTTGCCAAAATTCTTTAAGGTTTTCATAGAAATATGCTATAAAATAGTGCCTGAAATTCCTGCGTATACTTAAAACTTACTTGAATAGATTTTTTCCAATTAAGATATTTTTCTTCAAAGAAGGAAAACAAGCATAAATTCCATTATTTATAGTAATAAAATTCATCATCGGAGAATAAATTTTGTTGTTGGTATGACAAATTTTTACTTCATCATTTTACTGGTTTTATTTTTAGCTGTGTGTAAAGTCAGTTATTTATTGTGTATATGTTATCATCTTGAAGTCATCTTTATTTACATTGTTAAGATTTTTCTTTTTAATTCAGTCCATTCTTTCATTGCATTTTTGTTTTGAAGCTGTTTCTGTAAATAGTTGTACTTTTATGTGAAATTCTAGCAAATGCATGCAAGATTAACAATCTGTTATGAAAAATAATCTTACGCAACAGTTTTTTTTTCCCCCTGTAAACTGTCTAATTTCTTCATAATATATTCTAATATATACAATATATACATTTAGATATTACCTAAATATCTTGTTTCTTTTGAACTGAACATTGTGATGAATATATGATATAAATGACATTACTTTAAAAGAAGACTCTATAAAATTTCAAAATTTATATTTTCAAGTTTGTTTTATAAATTAAAAAGAAAATTAATTGCTTAGCAAAAAAAGAAGCATTAATATTGTTCATGAATTGCAGATATATTATCTTGATACAAATCATTATAAAGTACCTATATTAAAAGTGTAATGTTAATTTCCGATATATATTAGCAGATGGTACATGCACAAAATCACTTCTAGATTTACAGAAGTATGGTAAAAATGTATTTTGTTAAAACTATCCCAGTCTGGAATATGAAAACAACATTATTTAACTGGTGTTGAATATTTCTTTGAACATATTTTACCAGTAACAGCTCAAAAGCATTACATCGTACAGTTCTCTTTAAACTTTCATCATATTAACTTGAACAAAGCATTATTTTACTTTATTTCTTAATTTAAGTATACATGAATGTGCCATTGTTTGGGAAATGAGAGAAAAAGCAGTTTTATGATATGAGATATATATAGAGGGGTAATTTATTGAGTGTATCACTCGAAACGGAAAATATATATGTCAGTTTTTTTTTTTTGGTTAACTCTGAACCTACTAGATCCAAAAGTTATAAGCCTTTGTCATCAGTAATAGAGCCAGGCAGACCTGTATTAACATGCTGCTGTCTGATCAGGCTCTATACTCCTGGCCTATTTACTTGCTTTCCTCAGAATTTATTATAGACAGTTAAATTAAAGGCCCATTATGCCTCAGAAATGCTTTTATTTATGTTTCTCAAAAGCTTTTTAATTTTGGTGTACTTTTTAGTATCCAAAAAGTTACTTACTTACCTAAACTATATTTTTCACCTGTTGCTTTTTGGCAATAAGTACAGTTATAGTGAATTGGTATTTTGTATGGAAGTCGAAATACTACAATGTACATGTACATTGTTTACATATTACTACCTTTATGACGAATTATTTTGCATTTAGCGTTACTTTCATCAGGTAACAAGTAGCAAACATTCTCTAAAACTTTTATTTTAACATTATAAAATGCATGTTTGCACTTTCTGAGGAAGTAAAATTTATTTGTTTCTGAGGCATAAAGTGCCTTTAAAAGTTGTACAAGTTATTTTTAGAAATTCAATAGGTTAATGTACTTTATCTGTTAAAATGACATCCAGAGTAATGTTTTTTTAATCAAACTTTGTTTGCCATAACAGTTGTGGGGGTTATACTTAAAAAGTTAAATTTGCGAGCCACATTGTAAAGTAAAATTTGTATCAAGGTACTTTTGTTATTATTCAGGTAAGCTTTAAAGGTGTATGACTGTATTGTACATGTGAACAATTCTCAATTTTATCAAAGTTAGTGACTACAATTTTTACATTCTTATGATAGTTCTCTCTCTCTGCTAAGAGAATACGCCTATCCTTTTGGTTCTTTTTTTATTTTTGTATAATCTTTTGAAATAAAAATATTCAAAATGTTAAGTTGCCATATTTTTCAACAGTTTTATTTTTTTGCTTCAAAAGTCAGTTCTGTGTTGAAATTGAAACTGTCCATAATTTATTAGCTCGACTATTCGAAGAATATGAGAGCTATTGTAGTCGCCCCGGCGTCGGCGTCAGCGTCCGCGTCGGCGTCTGCGTTGGTTAAAGTTTTTTGTAAAGTCAAATATCTCAATTATTACTTGAGATATTCAATTGAAACTTACAATACTTATTTATAGTAACAAGGTACATCAGATTGACAAGTTGGATAACTCTGCCTACAATATTGACAGAATTATGCCCCTTTTTAACTTAGAAATTTTGGTTAAAGTTTTTTGTAAAGTCCAATATCTCAATTATTGCTTGAGATATTCAATTGAAACTTACAATACTTATTTATAGTAACAAGGTACATCAGATTGACAAGTTGGATAACTCTGCCTACAATATTGACAGAATTATGCCCCTTTTTAACTTAGAAATTTTGGTTAAAGTTTTTTGTAAAGTCCAATATCTCAATTATTGCTTGAGGTATTCAATTGAAACTTACAATACTTATTTATAGTAACAAGGTACATCAGATTGACAAGTTGGATAACTCTGCCTACAATATTGACAGAATTATGCCCCTTTGGAACTTAGAAATTTTGGTTAAAGTTTTTTTGTAAAGTCAAATATCTCAATTATTGCTTGAGATATTTAATTGAAATTTAAAATACTTTTTTATAGTAGCAATGTACATCAGTTTGCAAAATTGCATAACTCTGCCTGCAATATTTGCAGAATTATTTGCCCCTTTGAAACTTAGAAATTTTGGTTAAAGGTCTTCAAAGATATTTACTTGAAACTTTACACATGCACTTAGGGTCATAATTGGAGGGTCATAATTGTATGTCACTGACCAAGTTCCATAACTCTATCTTGCATTAAGGCTGATTCATATCCCCTTTTCTACTTAGTCTCTTGGTTAATGTTTATATGCAAGTTTTACATATCTCAATAACTATTAAAGATATTTATTTAAAACTTCACATATGCATTTAGGGTCATAATTGTAGGTCACTGACAAATATCCATAATTCTATCTTGCATTTAGGCTGATTTTTCTCCCCTTTTTCAACTTAGAAATTCATGGTAAAGTTTTGCTTGTAAGCTGTTATCTCAATAACTACTGAAGGGTTTGTGCCTTTTTTGGGACAATTTTATGCATTCATAATAATAAAGCAGTGATTTACTTGATAAAACATCTTAATAACAAGCCTTTGTACCTTTTCTGTCAAATTTATGTATTCATAGGTAATTAGTATTATTATACTCAATAAAACGCCCTTGTGACAATACCTTCCGAATAGTCAAGCCAATACTGTATAATTAGACTCTCTCTAAAGCTTTTAACATGAATTTATAAAAAAAATTAGCCCTTTTGTGAACTTAAAAAATTTAACATTATCAAGGCTCTTTTACTATCAAGCACTTAGAATAGTCGAGCGTGCTGTCCTACTGACAGCTCTTGTTTTAATAGAAAAATTGATACAAAATATGTGAGTTTTTTTCTCATACATGCGTTACAACAGTCTGTATGCATAATTGCTTTATTTTATTACTGATATCTTAGGGCATAAACACTCTTAAGACACATATAAAAAAATTTTAAGAAGGTGACAGTGTTTGCAGATATTTTTGAATATGTAGATTTAACTTTGATTCAGCATAAATAGGACTTAGTGAAATTGGCAAAATATTTTTATAAGAACATGTACATAATTATATATTTTTAATTCCATGCAGAAATTATTCCATTTTTGTTTCTTTCTCTTTTTTGCAAACATTAAAGCAATGAATTTTTCTTTGAAGCCCAGGCACTTAGAATTGTAAAGCCCTTCTTATGCTTAGTTTTCAAATATATATAATTCATAAACATGGACCATTGCATAATCACTACATATATTTTGATAAAATATTGTTGTTAAGTGGTGATTTATTTTGTTGTTATTACTATGATAAAGGTCTTGCTCATATTATGTCATTCTCATATTTTCATTCTGTTGTTAAAATTGTAAATGACATTACTTTAATGTCATGGTGATTATTGAATATTAAAAAAAGAATATTTTGAGAAACATGTGTCTATTGTGATTTGTATTACCATTTGGTTGAAGTTCAATATGAGTGTTAGTAAGAACAAAGAAACAAAAGCAGTTTCAAATCGATGGATAATTACTTGTCCTTACTAAGAAATCTACATGTTTTCATCCATAATTAATATCTAAGGCATGCCATGGGGTGAATTTAGGAAGTTACAGGTCACATACATTTGCCCCTAATATCACTGTAGATTTGAATCATGCCAAGGAAGTTAGTTACCCAGTTAGCTTTTTTACTCTGGTGCCAGCTCGTACCTTATTTAATACATAGAGGGCCACCAGAAGTTTTTCTCTGCCGGTAAAGCTTAAAAGTCGCAATTCAACCTTTAAAGTGACAGCCAAAAAAAAAAATTAAAAAAAAAAACAGTAAGTAAATAATCCAAAAAAAGTCACTACTATTATACTGAAGCCAAATGAAATCAGATTCCTGCACCTTGACCAAAAGATAACCTTAAAATACAGCAAATTTAGTTTATCTAAGCTGTTGAAAGCAAACGGATTTGTAACATTTCCCCCTTTGGTTGCAAGCCAGAGACATTCTATTATGGTATACATGTATCCCTGTTGCAAGGTTACCAGTAAAAGTAGTTTATGAATATTCTGATAAAGACAACAAAACCTTCGAAAATGGATTTTAATTGACATCATTTAAAGTCCATGGCTTTAAAGAGAGCAACTGAAGAATTTTCCACATCCTACTACAGAAACATATCTCTTAACCTACAATCGCACTAAACCTTCATATAGGCACGGATAATTTACACGTATTTATGTTTACCTTAACACCGGTTTTCCATCCGAGCTGAAAGTTGTAGTTTTTACCTTGTTCATAATTTTTTAGCATATGTCATTTTCTTTGGTATTGAAAGCTAACAGTGTCAGTGTTATACATAAGATTCAAATGTAAATATATATTTTACACTGTGACACTGCCTTTCATATTCTTGACAATTTGCTTTCTTTAAGTGTGGTAGTTTTCGGATAAGCGTCCTCTTTTTTGAACTTTCGATTTCTGTTAAGGAAATATATAGAGGATATTGAATGAGTGTAGTTTAATACTAAATTTATTGAACGAGTTGAATAAAATCATATTATGCCAGCCTCTGGCGAGCATAATATTGTTTTATTCAACGAGTTTAATAAATTTAGTATTGAATCTACACGAATATAATATTCTTTTTATCACATTTATAAAATAAGAACAGTAAACTGTTAAAATGAGTAATTTTTCAACGACGCGTCTATAGAGTAACGCTAACATTAGCGCTTTAACGCTATGTTTATATATAGCGCAAATGACGTCACATCAAAGTGTTATTACACTAGTGTAATATCGTTTTTATTAAATGGCTTTATTACACTCCTGCACCGCGGTTTATGTGATATATGGCATTTCTATATGACAGGACAGTAGCCTCTTTTAACAATTTCTATATTACAATGCTAAATAGAAACGAAATAACTAATACATGTGATCAATAATCCTCTTAACAACTTTAAAAGAATAATGAAAGTTGTGAAAATCAAAATACAAAGTTCATGCATACATTCATGTACCTTTTTATCTGTTACGTGTTGTCTGATTTTAAATACTTTGACTGGTTTCATAGCAGTTTCGTGTCCCAAGCAGTTTCCCGGCCCTTTATCATTTTTGTAGACATTTGTTTTCTAAACATCACTGCAGTTGAAACAGTACAGCAATTTATATGTTTTGAAGTTTTTCCTGTTGTTTAAAGTTACCTTAAAGAACTTGTGACATTTAAAAATCAGCAACTCCTGAGGAATTCTAGTTTGAATGCCCATGCACATTAATGAATATCCCATTTCAGGTAAAGTTCTAATTTTTTTTTATAAAATCATCTTAACCACAGGAACTTGAAATTCTATCAATATTAATGATAATATCCAAAATATACCCCCTATACAGTATAAATTTATACTGTATAGGGGGTATATTTTGGATATTATCATTAATATTGATAGAATTTCAAGTTCCTGTGTCTTAACATTTCTTACTGGTACTGAATTATATTCAAAATATAAAAAGGTCTGAAAAACTGCAATGACATTTTGAATAAAAGTGAGAAAACGTGTTACATTTAGGCCTTGGTATAATAATTATTCCAATGAAAAGTAAAGTAAAAGAGCAACTTTGTAAACATGGTAATGCTTGAGAGGTACCTAACTTTGTTCTGTAATGGTACTCATATGCTGAAAGGCCCTGCAAGTACCAGCCAGATCTAGATCAGAAAGTTTTGTTCTCAATGATTTCGTAAACTGATTTTCATTTTATTTGTTAGAAAGTGTGATTTGGGGCCGGAAACTGCTAGAAAACCAGTAGCCTGACACAGTGACAAACTGTAGATTTCATATCGATCTGTTTTGTCAAATTATTAAATCTGTAACATTAAGCTGTTAAACCTCGGACGACAAAAAAAACCTGGGACACAGGAAACAGTTATTTTTTGTGCCAGGTTAAAAGTATATCATATCTGGTATTCTAACTACACTGATATCAAAGAACCTGCATGTCAATTGTTTAAAACAAAAAGTCACTTGGAAGGTAGAGAGAAATAAGATATTTTAAAATTTTGACTGTCTTCACACTGTCAGGTCAAATGGTGAAATTATCTTGGAGCATAAATGGTCCAGGATCTTAATGTATTCATTGCAGTACTGGAGATTTTACATGCATTATTTTACACCTGATGTGTCTCCCACAGGGCAGGGCCTTTAATAGTGATATTAAAAGTCCCAGCTATTCTTTCGGGTGAAGGGGGAGTGGTTCCTATAGACTATTTATGCATAAAAAAATAAGTAAAATTTTACTGCAGATTGACACATTATCATTTATGGGAAAGACTGCAGTTAAATGCACCCATATTTTGATGATTTTCTTTATCTTAACAAAGTTTAAACTTAGTGTAAAAAAAAAACTTCATTCAAATATCAGACATAATATGCCCATCATATTTCATTGCTAAATACATTAACACACAAAAACGTTGTAATATCTAAATTTCATAAATCACATATCATCACAATGGCAGTTTTAACAGTAAATAACAATATTGTCATCATCAATATGATCTTTTCTTCAGATTGATATGGCAGAAAGAAGAACACAGATATCACTAGCATTTGCTGGTGGTGTGGCAGTTGTGGTGTTGTGGGAAGTGATAAGAAAGTGGAGAATTCACAGAGGGGTGGCAAAAAAGATTAAATGGAAGCAAGAACAGTGCAAGGCAGCATTTGATACAGTGGAACAAGACTTAAGAAAAGCTCAAGTAAATTTTTATTTTAATGCATAAATTATTAGTCACTTTCCATTTGGATAAATCAAAATAATTTGATTTATCCTGCTACTGTCTATATTATCAGCTGGATAAAACCTTGCCGGATAAACTTATCTATCTCCAGTCATTACTTCATATGATGACGTCACATGGTCAGCAGCAAAACAAAATCCAGTTTTATTGGGGGAAAAGTAAAAATGAAACCATTTAAATGAAGCAATATCTAATGAAAAAGTTTTACAAAATGATAAAATTATGTTGTTTCTATAGTCATATGATAGATTTTTGAAACAGTTGTAACAAAGTATGTTTCTGATATTTTACATAACTATAATAAAATGTTTCGGAACAAAATATTTGTCAGCTGCTTTAACTAGGACTTAAAAATGTGTAATATGAAGACCATTCGCTCTAAAGGAAAAAATATATACATATTTCTTTTAAATAAAGGTATTTTGGGATTATTCTTTTTTATAATTCAACTACAGGCTTCAGATATTATAGCTTTATACACTTGAAGTTGTTGTTGTTTCTTTTTACATTAGAAATATATATTTTGTATCTTAATAAAATCTTCTGTAATTATCTTAGACAAGTTGATTATCATGTTTTTGTTTGGCATTACTAGGTACCAGCTGAAAAGATTGCCAAAATTTTGGACCTGTCATTTACCGAGCTTCAACAGCAGTTACAAGATGGAACCCTGAAAGCAGTAGATGTGCTCCATGCATATCAGAGTTGTGTAAGTATTTTTCCCTTGTTTGATGTATACATTCATATATTCATGTTTTCAAACTAGTCCTTCAGTCTGTCTGTCAACTTAGCATTTCTCATACAATGTATTAAAATGTACATTTTTAAGAATCTTATAACATGTGTCGATTTTCTGAACTCCTCAAGTTACAATTTTTTACTCTGACAGCTGTTTCGTCGGTGTTTAGCCCTTTATTATCTATGTAAACTTAGAATTTTTAAATGAATTTTGATATTTTTGGTTGAATAGATTATTTTAGCATTTTTCGTTTGTTTTTATATTGAAGGCATTTGAAGCAAATGAGAGAGTAAACGCCATCACGGAACCTCTTCTAGATGCCGAGGTAAGAATGATATTTTTATATAAGTCAATTTTTTCTTTTCAATTTTGGTTTTATGTTGAAGTCAAGCTGACAATGTCAACTTCAAGGTCATAATTATGTGCACATAACAGCTTACTGGCGGAAGAAGACATCTGCTGTCCCACAGTGAATTACTTCAAGCTCAAGTAGGCATTCAAGTAGTTTAAATATTTCAACCATAACCAATTTTACAAACTGATATTATTTTTTTGTCTGTCTTTAAAGGGCCTTTGGTCCCTGGTGCACAATTTGTTGTAGAACCACTGACCACAAGTAAATTAGATAGATAGAAAGATAACTCTTTCGCATAAAAGAACTCAATGTCCCTAATTGAACCTTAAATTTAACTCAAATTTAATGATAACATGTCATACTTGTACAATTTTTGACTTTTTCTTTTATGAAAAAAAATTCATGTTTTATGGTGTTTTTTTTTCAGAATTTACTATTCATATAGGGATGTTTGTACTGAACCTGTACCATGCTAAATATTTTAAATTAACTTGTCCATTTCTCAGCCAAGCATTTTTAGAGAGAAAAAAAAAATCAAAATATACACTGACTGACTGACAGTGCAGACAATGATCAGACCACACAAATGTATAAAGTTAGGGCTTTTTCTGCGTGTTTTGAGGCATGTTGATAATTTCTGTATATACTAGGTGCCTAAATGGTTTATATATTTTAGTTAAATTTATAAATAGGCCATTGCAGAGGCTCTTGACAAACAGACATCGGAGAAGAAACCGTTACACGGTATACCAATAAGTCTTAAAGAAAGCTTCTATATATCTGGTCTCGACTGTACGGCAGGACTCGGGCATTTCCTGCAAAACCCAAAAACCTATGATGCTGTGTTGGTTCAGGTCAGTTTTTATGTACGCTTGTTTGAAATGATATACTGGTTTTTGGTTTGAATAAAAAAGAATGACAACATATATAGAATTGTACGTAGATGATGCCACCGGGTATCGGAATTAACACATAAATAAAAGCAGAACAAAATGAAATTACATAATTGGAAAATGAAAAAAATTGAACAATTTATTTAGGTCATTTGCTTTAAAGTGAATGGGTCTATAATGGAAGGTCTGTAATACAGTAAACAATTATGTTGACAGTATTTAGTATCAGACATAAAAACAAACCATGAAATAATTTTAAGTGGATATTGTTGGCAAGTGTGAAATACATGGTCCGATATTACATATATTCATATAGCAGATGATAAATTGTTCTAGAACAAAATATTGTTATTCATCATATTTAAATGTTCATACTAAATACCATAGAACTTTATTAAAAAATATTCCCAAGCGATAGTTTTTAAGAATATCCAAATAATACATTTCTATTCATATATACTTCTCCGTGGTCGAGGATTAAGACTCAATGACTTCTAATCCAGTTACCTTTCTGGCGTGGGTTCGATCCTCGGGAGATGCTTTAGTAGTTAAGCACGAAGGAAGGTAGTCTAGTACTGGTGTAATTCTCCAGGAACGATGGTTAGGAAACTACCCGCCTATATGACTGAAATACTGTTGGGAAAAGGCATAAAATGAAACAAACTAACATATATATTTCATAATATTTGAACTACAGTAATGAAAAAATGTACCTATTGAGATAATTGTAGACCAATACAATTTAAGTTGTTATCACAAATAGACTTCTATGAAACCAATTATATAAGTGTTATAATACAGAGAAGAAGATGTCTATATAATGGCAACCAATGTAAAATAATTTTATTGCATATTTTGTAGAGCTGGAAACAGTTTTCAGAACTTTGTCAAACAATGACATTGTCTTAACAAAGTGATGAAGTTTAGACTTTTTTGTATTCAATAAATTATCTATAGAAATATTAAGACATACATAATATGGTTAAATAACATACCGATAAAGAGGCAGAAAATAGAGTAATCATATGAGTATCTTGATATAGGACTTGTAATTGATGCAAGTGGATTTTTACTCAGCAAGATCTCACAAGGGGCAGAAGAGTCATCAGAAGTGATCCAGTCTAGACAAAAATAATGGAGCAAATTAAATACACATGTAGTAACAGATTAAGATATTCTTGCAATGGCCGTTTGCTATACCATTGCTCATGCATTTTTTTAAATGTATGCCAGATTAACAGGTCATATATTTACAGGTATTAAAAGGTTTAGGTGCTGTTCCATTTGTGAGGACAAACATTCCACAAACAATGATGATGTAAGTTATTTGTGAAATTTTTGTTTAACAATCGCTTATTGTACGAATTATTTATAACCCGGCACTCCACCTCCGGAGAACAGAGAAGACAGTGTCACTTGTCCTGCATAAAGCTCATGTCTTGAATAAAACTTTCACACTCTCATTTAGGTATACATTAACAGGGAGGAAGATATAAGCATAAACAGACTTTATAAAATAACTAGTCATACAGGTCCAGGATTTAAATGCAATCTAGTGTGTTTGCAGATGTTATTGCATTGAGAAAGTGCTTTAACTCCTATTACATAGCAATTATTACCTCCCCTGGCCACCATTTTGGGGGTCATTCACATTGTGTCATTTGCCTAAAGTAAGATAAAAATCTCTCATAATTCTATTATCTTCATGAAAACTGATAAAAAATCTTTTACATATTGATGTTTTTATAATATGTAGCTACATATGTATAAAAGAATTGGACAATTCACATAAATCAACTGTTCTTATTTATTTTCTAAACAAAATTTTGTCAATTATATTATATAGAATATTGGCTCCAAAATTTGCTAGGGTTCGTTGCATCCAAACTCTAAACAGTGATTTTATTGAGCGATAAGATCACTGTTTGAGGTATATTATTTCTTCAGTAAAAGATCCCAGTAGATTCAGTGATATTATTCTTGTGTAATAAAATGTTCTGTTTATTGCAGATATGAATGTTCAAATCCAATCTACGGTCAGACAAACAATCCCTATGATTTATCGAGAGTTCCAGGAGGCTCGACAGGGGGAGAGGGGGCCCTACTGGGTTCTAAAGCATCAATCATTGGTACCTATATCATGTTGATCTACAATATTACATCGTCACTTGAGTGCAGTAATTGGTTTAACTACTATTGAATTGTAAAAGGAATTAACTTGTTACTGCACATCCATAAAGTCTGATGGTAGCTCAAATTTTGTTGGTTTTTCTTTCATAGGAATCCCTTTAATTTAACATGGATTGTTCCAAATTGAAAACTGGGCTGTTCTATTATACAAATTTGGCAGGTTACTGGTTTATTATTAGATTTTTTGATATTGTTTTAGGGTTTGGAAGTGATATTGGAGGAAGTATAAGAGTACCGTGTCATTTCTGTGGATGTTACGGCCTGAAAACAACTCTAGAAAGATTGAGGTAACTTTTCACACACATAAAGTAGCTAAAATGTGTTAGTTCTGTAAACATGTACTTTTAAATGTGAAAGGCAAAGTAATGATTGATAAAAGATTATGGTTTAGAAAGCCTTGTACAATGTTTTTGCTTTTGTCTCCAATTTCTTTGGTTTTTTTGTTGTTGTTGTTGTTTTTGTTTAGTGATTTTTGTGGTTTTTGTAATTGCTAATCAATATAAGTGTATTGCAAGTTACATTTTTTTAAAATTTAAATGTCATAAGTATAATTATGAAAAGCAAGATTGTCTTTTCGTAAAAAGATTCTAGTTGAAATTTTGTTTACATGTACTCATGTGACTTTAGAAAATCAATTTCTTTAAATTTACATGGACCCTGTTCTCAGTGTAAATATATTTTAATTTCTTAATTAATTCTCAGTCAGATGTTATTTTTGTATACTTATAGTCATTTTACTTTTCTACAGTACACAACATTGTTTAATCAAAGAATTTACCAAACAAAACATAACATAAAGAATACCTTACCTAACATATGGCAATATTCATTATTGTAACTCAATGTTCAATGCAGAATTTATGTTTGATGATTTAACTTTTAAATTTCAGTCGGAAAGGTCATATATCTCTGTCTAAAGGTCAAACGCTAGGTGAGAAAAATTTTAAGCCTAATACATAAACATACATGGTCATGTTTCTTATGTCTCCATGGCCAAGTGGTTAAGGTCACTGACTTCAAGTCACTTGCTCCTCATTGTTGAAAGTTCAAATCCTGTCAGGGACTTTTGTCCAGCTTATCTATGGAAGGTCAGTGGTTCTACGTAGGTACGCACTTGTGCCAAAAATAATACAAAAAGGCACATGGGTATTCCTCCAATAGTAAAACTGGAAAGCCGCCATATGTGACCTTAACAGTGATTGTGTTACCGGGGTACTTTAAGCTCAACAGAATAAATAATATTTTCAATGGTAACATTGTAAACTTCTTTTTTCTTTCTTTTTTTTCAAGCCCTATATTGTTACAGAGGATATAAAGTTATATTGGACTGTCTGTAATTGACAGACAAATTGTTTGTATAGTGATATAGAATACCACCTCAATTTGACTAGAAGATGTAAATTTTCATAAAAGCCGTTAACTTAATATCTTATTTGAAAACTCTTTACTTGATATTCTTGTGTGTAAGATGACACTCTTTGCTTGAAACAGTTTTTGAGAAATGGACGCAAGAATATTAAAACAATGTGATTGTATTGTTTTACTGGAATATTATGCAAGGACAGAGGTCTGGTCTTATCTTAGATAAAATTGGTATAGAATAAAGTGCCAAAGCTCTGTTGACACCTATCTAATTATTCAAAACGGTTTATCTGAGATGGAAAAAAAAAGAATCTGTATAACTGTATAAATGTTGTGGCTTTGTTTGAATTAGTTTCAGGTACTGTGGGCCCTATGACCAGAGATTTTGAAGGTCTTGTTTTTGCGACAAAAGCAATTTTGAATGACCACCATTTCCAGCTAGACCCAGCAGTACCACCAATAAAGTTCCAAGAGGAGGTAGGACAATCATATGCAGCAAAAATTTACTGGACTTTAAATAGCTTCAAGTAATTTTTATATGTATTGCAGAGCTGTCATCGATAGGTCTTTAGACTAATTTAGGATTTTCTATGAAATGCAACCCTGATTATCTGTAATGGACTTGCCCTGCTTTGGATTTGGAACAGTCCATTGTTAACATAAGGGGCTGCCATATTAATAATTTGAAATTGAGCAAACTACAGTGTGTGATATTTTTAGACTGTACAGAAATATGTACAGACTGGCAAAATATTTCTTTGGATGGTTATAAAAGGCAGTTTGTTATTATTGCCAGCATTAAGGGAGTAAATGATCATGACATATTGTATTATTTGTACTGTTTTTAGATATACAGAAGTAAACGACCGTTGACTATAGGTTTCTACACGTATGACGGGTATATACAATCTGTACCAGCTTGTGAGCGGGCAGTCATGATGGCAAAGAAAGCTTTAGAAGCAATGGGACATACAGTAAGTGTGGTATTTACCATAAGAACTATAGGGACAGTGATGTTTTGCTAGATTATAATGTATGTTAATGTCATATTAAAGGAGCTCCACTGGGGTCTTGTTATAATATATATATTTATGTATAATATAATATGAGCTGCGTCATGACAAAACCAACATAATGGGTTTGCGACCAGCATGGAACCAGACCAGCCTGCGCTTCCGCGCAGTCTGATCAGGATCCATGCTGTTCGCTATCAGTTTCACTACTTGTTATAGGGTTTGTAAGCGAATAGCATGGATTCTGATTAGACTATGCAGATGCACAGACTGGTCTGGATCCATGCTGGTCGCAAACCCATTATGTTGGTTTTGTCATGACGCGGCTCATATGTATTACATATCAAATAACAGGACACAAAATTATGGCCCTTCATTGATACATTGTACATTGACACAATGCAAAAATCAAACTTTTCATATTTCACTAATATTTTACCATTAAAGAACTGGTATATTTGTTTTATATTACTACAGGTTATAGATTTTGTCCCACCTAGAGTTACATACATGGTGCCATATCTTTATGTTAGAAGTGTACAAGGAGATGGTGGAAGAATATTTACGTCTCAAACGTAAGTGCACACTGTTTCTTTACCATGAGTCAACATAGTTATAATATAAACAATTTTTAAGGTTATTTGGGAGGGTGTTGGGGGAGGAGTAAGCTTTGAATTTGGAACTGTTTGTTGCTGTTCATACGGATTTCAATCTCATTATATGAAGCAGAAGCAATAGTTTTCTACCAAAACAAAAGGCCACTGTTCTTTGATTTTTCATTCTCAGACCTATTAACCCTAATTTTTGGTGAATAAGAAAAAATATATTGAAATTTGAAGAGAACAATATAATTAGATTGCAAAAAAATGCTATACTCCATCAAGATATAGTGGTGTTCACCAGGGTTTTCGCAGCAAGAATTGTCAATAAATCAATAATCCTCCCCTTTGGGCGATTCCTAGATACAAATGTGCCCAGTCAC